AGAATTTCTCCTTAGTTACATAGGATTCCAATGATGATGGAACCTATCAAATTTGGTCTTTATCTAGGCTTACCTCGTTGATATGAGTTTTGGTGTGGCTGTAAAATCAAAAGGGTACAAAAGAGAAGCAGCTAGCGACACCACCACCATGTTTATCTTCTTCGATGTCGATTCAGTACCTTAGTGCAGGTATAGTGAAGGGAACGGTGATGGAGGTAACTTCATATAGGTTTAGATCTTATTCAAAATGAAAACCACTAGGAAGGGAAGTGGTTACGGACAGTGAGGGTGGTGGTACAAACCGACACCATTGTTGTAACGACCTATATTTTTCTAACATAATATCTAAGGGAATTATCATAGTTTTATCTACAATGCGGAATTCTATAAAAATTAAAACACCATCCCAGGGTTAATCACGGGTTTACAATAAAAATCTTACACATAAATTGAAACAAGGAAATGAAATATATACTAGGTCATTGTGCTACTATCCTCTCATGTACCATGGTTGCTACCTGAACCTGCAAAACATGAAACATATCTACTACATCAGACCATAGGTCTAGTGAGTTATATTCTAATTTGTTTGCATGTTTTATCCACTCTTTCTTTCTTTTCTCTTCTTTCTCTTACTCCGCATTCTAACCTCTTTATTTTATAAAATACACTAGTATTCTTTCTCATCTCATCACATTTATCTCTTCTACTCTTTTCTCTTTACTTATTCTTATTTCTCATCTTATCTACTATGTTCTCTTGTTCACCTCATATATCTCTTTTCTTTTACCACCACCGCTTTAACAGAGGTCGTGATTCGACGCCTGAGCTCAGTGGCGGACCTTAGTGGTGCCCGGGGGGTCCCGGGCCACTGCTCCGATTCCGACACGTAGTGTAAAAAAAATTATGTTTTTTCTATTAGGTGCATCGGCTTAAAATACGAGTGCCACTACTAATTTAGATTTTTTCGGAAAAAAAAAATTTAGTGTCACCCCTACTAAAACCTTCTACGTCCGCCACTGCCTGAGCTGAGTTGTAAAAATGACCTCCATCACCATAGAAGATCACAAGGAAATGAAATATATACTAGGTCATTGTGCTCCTATCCTCTCTGAACTTGTAAAACATGAAACATATCTACTACATCAGACCACATGTCTAGTGAGTTATATTCTATTTTGTTTGCATGTTTCATCTACTCTTTCTTTCTTTTCTCTTCTTTCTCTTACTATGTATTCTAACCTCTTTCTTTCATAGAATACACTACTATTCTTTCTCATCTCATCACATTTATCTCTTATACTCTTTTCTCTTTACTTATTCTTATTTCTCATCTTATCTACTATGTTGTCTTTTTGACCTCATATATCTCTTTTCTTTTGCCACCACCGCTTCGGTTGACAGAGGTCGTGAGTCGGCGCCTGAGTTGAGCTGTAAAAATGACCTCCATCGCCATTGAAGATCACTAGGAAATACGTTTGGAAGAAGGGGGTAAGGGATGATCGAATTTTCCGATTGAAAAAAGCATAATTCCAAGATTCGGAGGTGCTTTGATGAGTCGTACCTGGTTCATAGAGTTGTATATTGATTGTTCGTCCCGTGAAACTCATTGATACACCAAAATGAAATCTAGATCTAATACACAAAATCAAAAGCACAAGTAACTGGAATTAAATCAAAACCTGCATCTTTAATGAGACCATTCTTCTTTGCTATTCATTTATGTGTGTATGAGAGAGAGAGAGAGAGAGAGAGAGAGAGAGAGAGAGAGAGAGAGAGAGAGAGAGAGAGAGAGAGAGAGAGAGAGAGAGGCCCATATTTATATTTAATAAAATTTTAATTTAAATAGAAAAAAAACATTAAAAAATATTAGGAGGGCAATTTAATTTTTTTAATTTTTCGAGGGACCAAATCAACAACGAAACATGTTGAGAATGACAACCAATCCAAAATTTTAGTGGTTTGGACAATTTTCCAGAAAAAATACAAACCATGACCATTTTTATAATTTTGTCTAAATACTGTTATAAACTCTATAACTATCTTGATATTTAAAGAGAATATCATTCTACCTAAATACTAGTTTAAAAAATAGCTTTCTATATAAACACAAGTTTTAATATTATTCGTCTACATGACTTCCTATTTACAACCAAATGAATTATACATGTCGTAATTACTTCACTGAAAGTTTAATCACATTTTGCAATTGTACATGATAACATAACATATATACATATCTATAGATTGTTTTTTCAATTTTAGGTTGTCCATGACGTGGGGTGGGGGGCTTATTATCAAGGTTTTGAAGAATAAAAGACAAGGGTTAGATAGTCAATTTTTTTTTTTTGAACAGCAGCAAAACTCACATTAAAAAACAGCTAGCTAGAAGCTAGCAAAATACAAGATTAAGTCATTAGCGGATTGCGCATCCAATCAATCCAACTAACACAAGTCTTAGAATTCCTAAGGGAGAACCACCGAAAAGACAAATCAACAATAGTATCATACAAAAGATGCTTTTTAAACTTAGTAGGGCTAAAGATGACACCATTCCTATAAGACCAAATTACTCATAAACTCGCCATGCAAACCGACTCCAAAATAGAACGATGCCTACTAACAATTAACAGAGAATCAATCCAATCAAAAATCTCTGAAACACCAGGGTCAATGGGAAACGAAACATCCAGCCACACCCCAAGCCGTCTCCAAATCTGACAAGCCGTCTCACACTGGAAAAAGAGATGCGAAACACTTTCTACCTCAGACTGACAAATAGGGCAAAGGATAGACTCCAACTCAACACCTCTATCCACTAAGACAGAACGCACATGGATTCTATTTAACCTCAACCTCCACAAAAAAATATTAGCTTTAATTGGGACATTCCGATTCCATCTAGTTCCAACTCCACTAACCGAAAGAGAAATAGAATCAATATACCTTCTCATGGAACTAACAGAAAACACCCCACTTGGATCAAGACTCCAGGACCATCTATCAGGAATAGAAGTCAACTGAATAGGAGTCAAAATCTGCATAAGACTCTCTAATTGCTCAGCTTCAACTCCTCCTCTAATTTCACGCCTCCAAGAGAAATTCCACCCACCACAAGTCTAAAATTCGAGACCAACCCATCTTTCAGCAAGGATAACGAAAACAACCTATGGAATTTCGTTTTAAACAACACACCTCCACACCACACATCCTCCCAAAACCGAGCCACAGACCCATCACCCACAACAATTGAAAAAGCATCAGAATCTAAGACATTCTCACTTTCCATTCTCGTGATACAATCCACAATTGTCTGCCAAACTCCCCTACGTCCTGAATGCCTCACATCATGCAACAAGCCCCCAGAATGATCATATAACCTTTTAATAAGCCTCACCCATAAGGAAGACTGATCATGAAGAAACCGACGCTTCCATTTAACAAGTAGGGCAATGTTAAACGCATCCAAGCTGCCAACCTGTAACCCACCTTTATCCCTAGAATTAAGGATAATATCCCATTTAACCCAATGAATACGCCTTTGATCTTCCTCCATACCCCAAAAAAAACGAGCCCTAAACGACTCCAATAAATGACAAACTGTTACCGGCATACGAAACAACGAAAAGAAATAAATCTCAAGGCTGCCCAAAACTGATTTAATCAGAGTTAAACGACCACCTATGGAAAGCATTTTAACTTTCCATTTAGAGAGTCTCTTACGAAATCTATCCACAATCACATCCCAGCTACTAACACGGCTCATAGATCCACCCACCGGAATTCCAAGGTAAGAAAAAGGAAAATTAGCTGCAACACAACCCGTAATAGAAGCAAGAGAAATAACTTCAGACTGATTAACACCCACCCCCAACAAACTGGATTTAAAGAGATTAATCTTTAAACCCGAAACCATATAAAAACAACGAAGGATGGTGATAAGCCTTCTGACATTACCCTCCTCCCATTTACCCAAAAATAAAGCAGCATAAAAAAGATGGGAAATCTCAAAATTAGCCTCTTCAATCTCAACCCCACGAAAATTTCCAGAAGCAACCGCATCCTCCATGGTTAGATAGTCGATTAATAGAACCTTGAGACTTATTTTGCAATTTGAGATTATAGTTGCTTGATGGGGAGTAGATTTGGAGATTACTCAGTCGGGTGCACACTAAATTCATGTAGGGCCAGGAGCAGGTGATAATTGTGTCTGATTTAGTAATGATACATTCAAGCGTCCCATTAACCTTTTGAAGGTTTCGCGTTCATAGACGTCTAGCTTGGTTCAAACCCGGTCATGTAGATGTAGGAAACCAGTTCTTTCACAGGACTCAGGATATATATTTTTCACCTAATTCTGTTTTATTATTATTATTATTGTTATTATTATTATTATTAAGAGTCGTAGTAACGTATGACGCTCGACATGTTTTTTAAATTGAACGGAATTTGACAAATCCAAATTGTGAAATCGGCATGTTGGCCTTCGGCCTTCCAACATTTTTTTTTTCGTACAGTGCCAAAGTGTTCAAGAACCATTTTTACTGCAAAAGTATATATAAAAAAATAAGTGAAGAGTTTCAAAAAAAATGTACAGACAAAATAGGATTATAATACAAGGAACCTATTTTGAAAAGTCATTGTGAAATTGGAGATGTGAAATTTTAGGCTTTTTTGTGAAATCGTGTCAAATGTGGCTAGATTTTTCTGCTGAGTTAATGTGATCAACTTTTCTTCATTTAAATGAAATAACAGTTGCATAACACAAGCAACAAGGCATACGCTAAGGATTCATGTTTAACATCTTCCATTCAAATACACTCTCCACCCACACCAATGAAACATCACCTATTGATGCTTGAATGTCAAAATTAATTACATTAACCTCTAAAATAGGAAGTGTACCTAAGCTTAATAAATACTTAAGCAATGAGAACATGAGTGTGACAATAGAAGCAGCAGCAATCAATGTCAAACAAAAAAAAACAGTTTTTTCAAACATCCATACAACTTCTAATCTATTTCCCAAACTGAACCACAAACACACTCATTGGAGCCTCTCTTTTCTTAACCTTTCCATTTCTTTCACCATTTGCCAGTGTTGATGTGATAAACATGTCTCCCCAAAGCTCAATGACATCAAACGCCCTATTGTAAGCCACCTGGCATTTCACAAACATACTTCAATTCATAATAATAATAATAAACAAGATATGATCTCTTGGTCAACCATCAGTCAACTACGAACCTGCTAAAATCTTCACTTCCTAGGCTCCTATCAACTTGCCTAGCTGCAACCATATCATCTTCCACCACCTATCATCATATTCACATCCATCACATAGTTAAAACCATAATATCTCAAAAATAATGAATAACCCTATTATTTATAAAATCATTAAAATGTACCTTTTGCATTTCTGTTTCAATAGAATGTGGTGATGATCTAAGAGTAGCCAAATACCATCTCCATTCATTCAATGTTTCTTCGTCCACATCACCCAAGGGACCCACAGAAGAAGGATGAAAAGGGACAATTAAATCAGCTGGTAGAATGTTTGATTTTGCTTCTGAAAGTACCAATATTTGAACATCTGCATCCATATTCATTTTATAATATTTAAAATCATATTCCACTTTTTGAAACTCCATCAAATCCTTGAGCAATCTTGTATTTTCAACACCATTACTATTCAATACCCCTGCTTGTAATGATGTCTCATCTATCATAAAATGTGACCCCTCCGCACACTGTAAAGCCCCACTCACAAGTCTGCAAAATCAAAATTAAAACCATCTAAAAGATCCATAAAATTAATTAATTAATTGGTACCATATAAGGCTTAATGTTAAGTTACCTGTTTGTTTCGTAATCTTTTACTGGTGATAGTGAAACAGTGTTGAGATATTCAACTGTGAGAGGCATATGATGAGTGAAGGGTAAAAGGGTCTTTATTGCATTATTGATTCGTTTACCAAAAACAGATATACTTGACTTGTCGAAACTTGTAAGGTTAAGTGATAGCTTCCCTACAGCAAATGAGTCTACCCTTGAATGAACCTACATTAAAGTAAATAAAACACTTGTTACTTTTATTTCATTTTTACATTATAGTAAAAAATAATTATAATGTAGATGTATTTTTTACCTTTGACAATAAATGCAACAACATAAAATGAGCTGCTAACTCATCATCACCAAGAACTACTTTAAGGTAGTGCAACAAGGATTCACGTATTTCTTTCACCAAATGGGGCTTTGGCTGTAGATTTAAACAAAATGAGAAATTAGAAATTATGATAATAATGAGTTTGTTTATTATAAAATTGGATTAATGTTGCATACCTCCATTGTTGGGGACTTAAAGACCATGTCAGGAACTGAAAGCTTTCTGTGTACAAGACAATGAAGACGTGGCACCTTGCTAGGAGGTAAGTTGACTAATTCATCTTCCAGTTCATGTTCACCATTTTTATCATTTTTAACTTCAGTGTCAATTGTAAGGACACCAATGAACTCAAACACATCATTTAGCTTTAAATCAGACTCTGGAGAGTCGTATATCTGCAGAATGTAGACTTTGTAAGGATGTTAAAACTTTGAAAATATGAGAATAATTGAAATGTGAATTGGATTTATATAAAAAAGCATAAAATATTACCTTGACTAAACATGAAAACTTATTTCTGAAATCGACATCAGACACTGTAGGTCCACCACAGTCTGTTTCCTCAGTCATGAAGGATTCACCTTCCCGCTGTAATGCAATAAAATCATTTTTGGAATAAATATACTACAATATGAATTATAAATTTGAAAAAAAAACGTATGAATGCAAGATTACTGGCTCACCATCTTCTTTGCACGTGGAGAATTTGGCAGCTCATTGCTTGCATCCTGTCATTTGAAGAAACATGTCAGAAACATGTAAAGATTTGAACGTTTTCAATATAAATCAAACAAGATAGATATCAAAGCACTCAAGAACTTGTAAAGTTGAACATACTTGCATTTCCACCTCTGTGGAAACAGGACAGGTATCCCTTTGTCTCTTTTTTCTCTGTTTGCTGATGGGGAATTTGTAGATGTAATTACAGCACCATCAGAAGTAGAATCTGCCCATGAATTCAGGCCAGGGACCTAGAGATAAGGTTGATCAAAAGGTAAGAGATTCAATCGGGTAAGAAATGGTTAACAGATGTTAAAGACTCACAGGAACACAGTAGAGAAGACGACGCTCCCAGACACGCATATCAGCAGAAGGATCCATGGCAAATTGAGAGACATCTGTAAACTTGTTGGTATTCCATGTCCCTTCGTTCTTCAAAAGATAATGCAAAATCAATAATAATAAACAAAATATAATCTTGATCTTGTATTCTTGTTCAAAGGTTCAGTGGGAAATAGAATTTGGGGATTAACATACCTTATAAGCACCAACATAGAATTCGTTACCCAGCATGTCTTGAATCATTCCACGGAAGCGAACTAAAGTGTTTGGTTGAACCCGATGAACAGTTGATGGAGTTAGTATCGGGACCTGGACATGGTGACAAAAAAATTGATCAAAACTATGAGTAAATTAACCTAATCACTGCAGATTACCTAAAAAATCATAAACCCTAGAAGTTTCTCTAGATTAAATTGGAGAAGTTGCATAGAAACTGAAACATACATGGAATGAATCACAGAGCAAGAGTTTAAATAATTCATAAGCCCTAGAAATCTATAAACATGTAAAGTACCTGACTGATGCCATCCTTGTCAAAAAGAAACTCCCGGAAGATATCAGCAACGCCCCAATCATTGCGGTCCAAAGAAGCCGGATCTGTACCAGAAGTCACCGCCTTCTCAAAAGTGAATCGGACAGCCCCAAGAGGGTTCACCAAGCAATCGTACTGACGTCCCACCATTTCTGGACTCTAGAAATTCCTCTTTTTTCTCTCTGTAAACACACTCAATCACTTGTGGAAGAGTCGGCTGATTCCTTCGCTGCCTTCCCGCGTTAACAGTTAAGTAGGCTGAATTCCCGCCAAAGTGTTGGGTTGAGTGGATTCCCGCCAATTTTAGCCGTTGCGGGCCTGTGGCCACTGGCCCATGACCCATGTTTTATGATTCGGCCTTGTTAGAATAAATTATGCAACTTTATAATTAATAATTAATAATTTAAAAAAAAAATTGTATATTCCTAAATATTGTTTTTTTTTTTAAGACAAAACTTCAAAAATGATCCCTGTGGTTTCCGAAAATCTGAAGTTTACTCCTTATTTTTTAAAAACCTCACAAATGGTCATTGTGGTTTCAAAACTTTTAATATTTAGTCTTTATGGCTAACTCCGTTAGTATTTGTCCGTTAAGTAAAGGGCGTTTTCGTCATTTCACTACCCAGGGACCATTTATGAGGTTTTCTATTATTATTTTAAAAAATGAAATATAATCTCTCTCTCTTATTAACTTCGATCAACTCTCTCTCTCTCTCTCTCTCTTATTAGCTTCAGTCAGCTCTCTCTCTCTCTCTCTCTCTCTCTCTCTCTCTCTCTCTCTCTTATTAGCTTCGATCAGCTCTCTCATACACACAGACACAAATCGATAACTTATTGTCTACCACGAATTTCAGGATTAGGGTTTTTGTTTTTGTTAATTTGGGGTTTTAGTAATTTAGTATCCATAGCAGATTGATCAACCTAAGTTTGTAGGTAAGGTGTTTGTGGAAATTACTCTATTCGAGTAGAAGTGTGTTTCAGTGTTGTTTTGATTTGTTTGCAATATAGTTTAGCGAGTGGCGAAGATGAGTTTGGGAACGGCGGAGGAGGATGACTTGGGAACGGAAATACATCTCCCAACTGACATTGATTGGGAGATGCTTGATAAATCAAAGTTCTTCTTCCTAGGCGCTGCCTTATTCTCAGTTGTGTTACTGTGAAAATGGGGTTTTCATAGGCAAAAGCAGTTGCCATTGCGAATGTTGTAGTTGGGTTAAGTACAATCGTGGCTGCTCAAGTGGTTTGAACACCAATTGATGTTGTGAGTCAGAGACTGATGGTTTAAGGTGGACATGGGGCACATATTAGATACAATGGTGGAATTGATGCATTTAGGAAGATCCTGATGGTGTTCGAGGGTTATACAGAGGATTTGGGATTTCAATCCTGACATATGCTTCATCAAATGCAGTCTCGTGGGTGGCTTACTCCATGGCTCATCGTGTTGAGGCAATGCTATGGATTCAATTTGAGTTGGGGATTCAATTTCAAGGGTGAGTCCGATCAATCGGTTTTTTGTTTCTAAAAATCTTTCTGCTTCATTTACAAGATTCTTAATCTGGGTTTTGATTTTGGTTCAGCTGTTGGATGATTAGGTGCTTTGTCGGATATACAAGAAGAATTCAAGTGCACAGAAACACATTTCCGGTGGTGCTCCGACCACCGAACAGAGCCATGAATCTTCTTCATCTTCAGATCGTTTGGTCTGTGTGGTGTGTATATGTTTTGGTTGTTTTCTATTCTTTCTAGATATGTTTACAGTAACAGATCATGTGGGTTTCGTTTTGTTTATATGGATTTATTCATTTCTTCATCGAGAAAGCTGTATGTTGGCATAATGATTTGGTTTTATTCTTTCATTTAGTTTCTTATTTATTTGAATGTTGTGTTTAAGAATCTAGTAGAAGGTGAATCGAGGCAGAAAGAAACAATCTGGTATAGAGTTTAAAGCTTCATAGTTTACACACACACAGAGAGAGAGGGACCCTTTAATATTAAATAATTATATATTTTCTCTAAAAAAAAAATAAGGCAAAACTTCATAAATGGTCCCTTTGGTAGTGAAATGACAGAAATACCCTTCACTTAACGGTAAAAAGTTAACAGAGTTAGCGAAAATGATCATTTGTTAAAAAATTTAAAACCACAGGGACCATCTATGAGGTTTTTAAAAATTAGGGACTAAACTTCAGATTTTCGAAAACCACATAAACCATTTTTGAAGTTTTGTCTTTTTTTTTTTAATTTGTTTTGTGATTAGAAATTAACTAAAAGTACATTATATATAGACTTACTTTGCTCATCGCAACTCTCAAATTTTAAATGTTGTTAAGAAAACATAACATCACTTATTATTTATGAAAATAAATATTAATATACATGGAAAAATAATAATAAAATGATGAACATAATTTTGATTCAAGATCGTCGTTGAATACAATTTTAAATAATGTATAGGAAACAAATGTTTTTTGCCAGAGTGGTGATAATACAAAATGATGGTTGTTGGATATTAAGTTGTTCAAACATCTCTCGAAGATCATGCTCACCCTGCCTTCCCCCTCCTTCACCATTTTGTTGTTTTTTTGGAAAATACATTTTTCTTCTTTCACTGTGTTAGACACTCTCATTCTCTCTCTCTCTCCCTTCCTTTTAACCACGCGGAGGGCATATTACACATATAAGACTTTTTGCTGATTAATTTTTAAATTTCGTCCTTCATCACCAAATTTATTTTTCAGTTATGTTTGTCATATTCTATTGTAACGTATGTAGTCGTAACTCATAACCACAAAAAAAAATTGTAATAAATATACAGATATGAGAAAACCCCAACCAAAACATCCCCTTTTGGCCATCCACAAATTTAATTGCAACACTAAACACACAGATTATAAACTGTAAACGATAAGGTATGAAATCTGTTTGAAGGTAACAATCATTTAAAAGATATTTCAAGACATATACTTTTAACATTTCCAACCAAAAATGTATATTATAACTGACTATTATGTAGTTTTCCTTTAACCAGAAAAAAGCCTAGTAAAAAAATTTCCAGATTTAGGCTTGTCCAAGCATGCGACATGAACATATCTTCCAAGCTTGTCCACTTGCCTTGGCTCATTCCTCGTGTCTTTCTTGCACACTTTACATGTTTTATCAACCCACCCTTCTTCTACATATTCACCATCAACTAAACAAAACCAAACATAAAACAAAATCTAGGGGTAAAATAGGTAATTCCGACTTCATAAGTATAATCTAATTGGTATGTTATATCATTTGAGCTGAATAATAGAGGTCCATATTGTTACCTTCAACATAAGATTTGAAGAAATCTTTATACGTCCCTCCAATCTTTCTCCGAAGAGCGCCATACTGCAAAAAAAATAAAACATTTTTTTGTAACAGATCCGACCATTTACAATCTATAATTGGGATATCAAGTATGATTCATGGAATCACAAAATTGAACCGAAAGATAATTTTTGGCCCTAATTCGAGAAAACTAGAAAACCATTAGGTGTAGTGGATTTTTGCTCTTTCCTGAAAACCACCAAAATCGGACCAAAAACCAGTAGAATCTAGTAGCTAGGAAGGATTAGGAGAGGAAATTACCTGTTCCCTGTTCATTTTCTCTCCTGATTTGGTTGCTAACCGGGCATCTTCAATAAGCTGTGCATCTTCAGCTGATCTAACCTGAGAAAAATCCAGAGCTTCTGTAACACTTTCAAACAAACTCTGCTTCCTTATTTTGGGCTTTTCATCTTCATCTTCTTTGCTACCCTTCTCTGTTTTCCCTGAATACACTCTGAATTTGTAATAAGAATTGGTGGGAGTGAGGGTGGCTTGTTTTGAAGCAGTGAAGTTAGAAGCAGGAAAAGCAGGTGATAAGGGAAGAGCCCTTAACCCCATCCCCATGCTCTTTGGGAAAATATAAACCGACTCTCAACAAACTACACCTTATATACTTTACTTTCTATGCTTTGGGTTTGGGTTAATTTAAAAATATAAAAATCGATTTCCTATCAAACATGTTTATATATATATATATATATATATATATATATATATATATATATATATATATATATATATATACAAACTTATTATATATTTATTTGGATAAACAATTTATTATAGCTTGTCCTAAACCATTGTTTGTAAATTGTTTTGGGTGGATGAGACGATTTGGTTGTGTAATATGCAATCTCAACTAGTGGTTATTTTTTTCTATGCTGAGCTGGATCACTGGATGTTTGCCACGTGTCAGTTACAAATGTATGGTTTGTGGGTTGTTACGTGGCTCTTTGGCTGACTATTGAAATTGAGAGGATCAATTTTACTTGTCCCTTGGTAGTTAGTGTAGTGGTCAATGAAGGCGCCAAATGCATACGTGATATATCAATTTAAGCACAGCTTCAATATTTATAAAGAATTCACGAACAGTCCCCACTATATAGTATATTTATTTGTTGTTTTTATATACCAAGCGTGAAGTATTATAAAATAAAATCTCCCAAAATTTATCATGCGTACTTTCTTTTGGCAACAATAGAAATCTGCAGCTTTAAATTTGTGGAAATTCATGACTAAAGTTGAGTCATACGATTCATTTATATATCATTCTCCTAAAACTATTAAATGAACCGATAAGACTGTCAATATTATACAAACTTGTAAAATTCAATAGCCACTTTCGCTATTTAATAAATTTGTTCAAAAAGTATATCTTCACCTTTAAAAGGACATCAAAAAATGGTTTACCAAATTAAAGATGATTTCTATTGATATGAACACAACTTACATAACTTCTCTCTATACAACATAAACCATCCCAACTTCCAACAAGGACGCTGGAGGCACCTTCAACACCACATCTGGTCCCCTACAATTCCGCCTCAGAAAATTATACCCAAAATTAATCGCTAACCTCTTCAAAATCGACGACCCTTGTTTTGTTTTCACATGCGAGTGTCCAAGTATGAACGCAGTCCCACTTTGCTGAGCATCCAACAGATCTTGAAGCTCTTCTCTCATGTGTACATCTCTCAAATCACCACCCTCATCATCATCATCATCAGCAAACCTCACTCGCCTAGGGTTCATGTTCATCTCTGTTATGTCTCCCATACTCTCCACTGTTGGAAACCCTAACGAGACGCTAACTTGTGTTATGCTTTCATGTTCTTCAAAACCCTCCAAGTTCCCGATTACAGCAAGCATCTGCTCCCCTGACGACCTACTTGACCCGAATCCGCCATCTTCTTGACCATCACTGGCGGCTTCTGGGCGGGACCAATCATACCGGATGAAATCGGTTAACCGGTTTATAAGTTCAGACTCGAAGGAATTCACATCTTGATGAACATCACGATACCCGTAACGAACAATACATCTATAGGATCGAAAAGAAGCGGGACCCACACGACCCATGAGGTACCTTTCAGGTGGTGGGACAAAGGGTACAGGGACAGATTTCACACACACAAACACCAAGATCCGGTGAAACGCAGGGAGGTTGGTGACAAAGCGGGAGAAGTTAGCCGGGATACCAGAGGTGAGATCAGTGAAGACAAGCCCGATTCCAGGGACTCTTGAAATGCCTAAACTTGAACCTAAGGCTAGTAGCCATTCTAAAGAGACCTTATTTTGAAGGTCGTATTGGTATTTTTTGGTGGTGGCGTAGTGCCAAACGAACATGATGGTGACTAGAAAGAGTGCTAGGAGAATCGGGAGCCATGCACCTTCACGGAATTTAACCAGGGAAGCTGAGAAGTAGAGGAGTTCTATGGAACCGAAGAAAAATAGGAAGCAAAGAGCTACGATTGGAGGTTTATGCCAACAAAGAATGATGACTAATGATGTAAGGCAAGTTGTAACCATCATCACCGCCATCACTGCCAATCCTGCAGATGAATTAAGTATAAAGATTTGAGTAAAGGAGTAAAGGATCACGCACACTAGGTGTTCGATGAAAAACCACAAAGAAAATGCACGAGTTTACTGATACAATCATACAAATAACAAACCTGATGCGTTTCCCAAGTGTTTTGTATCCCGGAATCCAATGGTGACAGCGATACATAAAACCATGAGTATCCAGTTGATCTCCGGGATGTAAATCTGACCATGTTTCTTGTCCGATGTATGAACAACCTTAACCCTTGGAAAACAACCGAGTGATTGGCTCTGGTTAATGATCGAAAATGTTCCACTGATGATTGCTTGACTACCGACAACAGAAGCAAGTATGGCTATAACAAGAACCGGCCACCTCACACTTTCTGCATACGTGTCAACATTATATTATTACTTATTAATTAACCATTTATTATTGTGAATTTTTTTATTTTAAAGTCCTTCTAGAAGAATATTATATATATATATATATATATATATATATATATATACCTGGCACTGACACGTAATAACTAATGTCGTGAGCCATCTGATGATGTTTTGACAGATAAGCCGCTTGTCCCATGTAACCTAGGATTAGCGCGGGATAAACGAGAAAAGAGAAAGCAATCTGCAGAATAATTTTTCCACACAATATAAAATATATAAATAACCAAAAAAACTAAATATAAAATCTTCATATCTGACTTTCGTTTATACCTGAATTGCAGCATATGAGAAATGGCCAAGATCCGCAAACATTGCTTCTGATCCTGCAAGAAACATAATTAACTAATTATCAAGATTTTTATGAACATGTTAAAGAAGTAGTTGTTAGTTGTTACTAGATTCGAATATGAAGTTTTATTTTACCTGTAATGCAGAGTAAAATGCCTCCCAATGACATCCAGCCACGTGTCTTTGTCTTCTTTAAAAACTTATACATGTAATAAGGTGAGAGAGCTTTGTAGACTTGTGGGTTCCAGACGAATATATTATATATACCAAGTCCACTTATGCATATCAGCCATAACAATACAATTGGAGCAAAAAAGAAACCAACTCGATGTGTCCCATAATGTTGTAGCGCAAATAAACACACTAATATGAAGCAAGTAATCGGAATCACAGCATCTGCATATTTAATATTATAAAATATAAAATTCTTTCTTAAAATATGTACTCAAAACAATTCAAATTAAAGAAAAGTAGAAAACTCACATTCATGGTGTTGTTTGGACATGGATAACTCAAGCCCAGAAACCGCAGAGAAAACTGTGAATTTGATGAATAAATGATGTTAATAGTGAAAAAAAAAAAGTTAAAAAGGGGTTGCAAAAAGTTTAAAAAAAGATTGTAATTTTTATACCGGATATAGCTGGAGTAAGTAGTCCATCTCCAATAACCATACACGTGCCAAGAAGAACCAAGATTAGTAAAGCTGTATGCAAAGATTTGTGCTTTTCAAGCAACATTTTCACTTTTGACCTGTTTGACTTTTCACTTTCTGGAGGTTGCTTGAGTTTATAAGTAGAGAGTGATTCATCCGCAGTTTGTTGATTTGGTAAAAGGCTTACTTTAGCATGTCGGCATATTGAAGAATAAAGTGCAAAAGTTCCACCTATACATAGATAAAAGAAAAAACAGTTATTTATAAAGTTTATTTGTTAAAAAGAATATAACAATTCAAATTAAAAAAATTTTGTTTACCTTCACCATTATCGTCAGCTCGAAGAACAATGAACACGTATTTGAACAAAGGGACAAGAGTTAAAGTCCAGAAAACGAATGAAAGAACCCCAAAAATCTCTTCATTTGTTTCTGAATGATGAATGTCTGATGCAAATGTGGATTTGTAGACATAAAGTGGGGAAATGCTGAGGTCTCCATACACAACACCAAGACTTTGATAAGCTAACACCAATGTTGTCCTCCAAGAATCCTTTTAAATGCAATTAAAAAAAAAAAAAAACGTATAAGGTTTTGTAACAAAGCGAAAATATAAAAAGGGCTAATGAGCTACATCGGCAACAAAATTCTAATTGTGTTCAATAGAGCACTAAACACAAAATTTTGTTTCAGTTTGGAAAGCCAACATGTTATGGCTGGTTCAATAAGTTTTCATGCCAAAATGGCATCCAACCTGATTCCTACGTGGCATTTTAATTTTTTCAAATTGGGTTCAAATAGAGCCCTAAACATCAAGTTCATATATCATTAACCTTAAATAAAATAACCAGCACGGAATGGCAATTTTGGACAAATTAAGGAGATTTGAAAATGCAAAATCGCCCATCATTTCATCCAAATTTGTTCGACTTTGTAAAACGTAGCATTTTTACAAAAAGGGTAGGTAATTAGTTAATAGCAACTAAAATCAGTAGTTAGAAGAAACAATCACTCCATAATTAAGATTAAGAGGGCAAACCTTGGAATTTCCCCAACATTTTTCCCTGCCAAGATCCATGCTTCTTGTAGATCAAGATTTCCGTAC